AACCTTGAGCAATCCAGACGGGACTGCACAAGGTTCTACAAATCTCCAAGTTCATATAACTGTTTTAGAACCGCAGAATCCAATCGAAGGTGAAGCGGTCTTTGAGGATATCTTCGCGATCGGTGAGTGGCATTTCCCAGGCGACGCCGATTTCGGTGTTGGGAGAAGGCTTGTATTTCAGACCGATTGCTCCAGTGACAATGTCGTTGCCTGCGACTCCAACTGAACCGAGGTTGAACAGATCGACACCTTCAACAGGAACAGGGAAGGTTTCACCAGATCGCATCCAGTGGTACCAGTTTGTTTCACCCAGCAGATACAAGCCGGTGTCACCGATCTGATAATCGAGGTGGTTCGACCAGTACCAGACCTGGCTTTCTTCGTTGGTGTTGGCAGGCAAGCGGAATCCAGATCCTGAGATGAAGTGCCAGTTCTCGCCGAGTTGTGTTCCTCCAGTGACGAACAGGTGGAACTCACCATCTCCATTTCCTTGGAGAGCCCGAGTGCTTCCGACTGGAAGTTCATAAGTCAGACCGGCACTGACAATCTGCTGCTTGCAAGGATCCTTAAATAAGTTGTATTTCAAACCTAAAGAGACGTCAGCCCATCCATCATCAAGTAGTGGGTTATCAGAAACGATGAAGCCGTCTTTCGTTGCGATCAGTGAAAGATCGTCTGTGAGTGCTGCTCGAATCTGCATTGCGTACAGTTGTGCATCTCCACCAAATAATGCATTTGGAATATTGTGATTAATAAAGATGAAGCGTGCTTCAGTCAGGGTACGAGGGTCTTCAAAGAAGACTGGGTTAGTCATCGGGCTGATGAAATTGTCGAAGCAATGGTCACTGGGCTTGAAAAGCCCGTCTGCTCCGATCAGGCCGGAGAGACAGAAACCATCCTCCAGACACCCAGTCGCGTCACAACTGTCAGACAGGCAACCTTGATCCAGCCCGAGCGGGGCACAAGGTCCGTTTTCCGCTGCAAAGCTAAAGGCACAACCCATCCAGGCGCAGAGGAAGGTAATGCTGAACTTCATTGAATCACTCCCAATTGATGTAAACCGCAAGTCCGTAACAACTCTTGGTTTCGACCGACAGCGTTCAATAGGTGCAGTAGGCATTTTTGAATTCTGATTATGTCGAGACGTGCGAAGATGTTGCAAGAATTTCTACTAATATTTTGAACTGCACGCTGAGTGTGACACGCTCGTCACACTCAGCGTGCATCAGCAAAATTGACCGGTTGAGCTACTTCAAATTCGGAATCTGGCACTTAGGAATGACCTGGAAATTACTGCCACGTTTCATTCAACGCCTATTTATGGCAAAAATCTCGTCCCGTAATAGAAGTTGGTAGTGGATAGTTGGTAGGATTTTGACAAGTTCACCATCGCATGATATGAAGCACTTCCCATCCACTATCTGCTACCCACTACCCACTTCAGTAACAATTGAGACGGTTGCGGCTCGACCAACCTGAATATGAAATTGGACTCTTATTGTTCGAACGGTCCTTACTTGAGGCAACCGGCTACTTTTGCAGGATCTGTTGGTAAACCTCGCGAATACGGGCTGTCATCACTTGGTGCCGGAACTGTTCAGAGAACAGTTCTCGCCCTGTCTGACCGAGTTTCTCTCTCAATTCAGGATTGCCGGCCAACTCAGAGATAGCTTCCACAAGCGGTTCAATCGAATCGCGCGGGAGCAAGTAGCCTGTCTGGTCAGGCAGAACAACTTCGCTTGCTCCTCCAACGTCATAGGAAACGACAGGCTTTGCAGAGAGCAAACCTTGAGGCAGTACGCGCGCGAGCCCTTCCCACTGGCTGGTGTGTGCGACAATATCCATCGCATGAATCATCGCTGGGATTTCGGTGGTTGGTACGATTCCTGAGAAATGGAAGTAGTCCGTCAGTCCAGCTTGGGCAATATTCGATTCAAATTGCTGCCGGAGGATGCCATCGCCAACGAAGAGGAATCGAACATTCTTATTCTGAGAAATAACTTGTTTCGCTGCTTCGATCAGAAACTCGTGACCTTTTAAGTGAAAAAGTCGACCAATCTTCCCGACAACGATATGTTCTTCAGCGAAGCCAAAACGCTGGCGAGTGGCTTCACGAGTTGCTGGTGGATTGAGAAAGGGTTCTACGTCGAATCCGCTATAAATGGTGACATATTTGTCTCGCGTCCCGATGCCCTCAGCGAGGTAAGCATTCCGCATGGCATCTGCGACACAGATATATTTTTCTGTCATCCCCTCAACAAATTTCTCAGCTGCGACATAAGCCCGATAGGCAAGCGGAGATTGTCCATAATGAAATGCAGCACCATGTATTGAATGCACAACGGGAATGCCCAACCGATTCGCTGCCAGTCTTCCCAGGATTCCAGCTTTTGAACTATGTGTATGGACCAGGTCAGGTTTGATTTCCTGGAGTAGCTGTCTCACTTTGCGGTATGCCTTCCAATCGGAAAGCGGATTGATACTGCGTTTTAATTCTGGCAGTAATTCGAGTCGGAAGCCACCGGATTGAGCACGTGGAATAAGAGTTCCCTCGGGTCCTTCGGGGAGACCGGTGATCAGGCTAACATCATCTTGATAGAGAGAATGCTGGTCTTCAACGTTATGCAGAGTATTTTCCTGGGCTCCACCAAGAATTAATCGTGTAATGAGGTGGGCCACTTTCACGGGAGAGAAACTTATCCTGATCTAAATTGAATGAAAGGATTCGAACGTCAGCATCGAATTCAATCAGGGAGCACAACGGCTTGCATCGCATCCTGCCGCGTTTGATAGTGTGGCCAGATATTAAAGAGCTTCGTCATTTGCAGCATTTCATAAGTTGCGACGGTGCATGCGCACAATGCGGATTTGCCTTTGACGGCTCGACAGAACGAGCAGAGAGACTCGACGAGAATGTGTCCTACGGCTTGGGATTCACTGAAATCGATGACAACATGCTTGATTTGTTTTTGCTTGATCAAGTCGATCACACGATTCGCTTCGTTATGAATATCCTGGTAGAAGAATTCCTGAGAATCTCCCTGGGGGAGAATGACAATGCTCTCGCCAAATGTTTTCGTTTTGAAGATGCGGTTGTGACGTGTCAGGAAGTCACTATCTCCATCTGAACCATCTCCCAGGTTCACTGGAGTTTGCATTACCAAATCAGGATAGCGGGCAGCCAAAGCATAAGGCCCGATCTGGAATTCAACTCCTTCTGCGAGCATGAGACAATTTGCTTTTTGTCCATTGACTTCAAAGGCGCTATTCCCTGTCAGATCAATCCCCCACAGTCCAGATGGCAAAAGCAAAAACGAACAATGTACTCGGGAAATTTGCTTGTCCAGAATTGTAATCCGACAATGCTCATCGCGTCCCACAAGAGTGATGACACGATTAATGGGCCATCTTTTGCCTTTGGAGGTCGTATTCAGAAGTTCAAGCTCAACTTTAGGTAGTACCCCATATTCATCACGATGCTCATCGCGTGGACGGAAATCGGTCGGTTGCTTGAGAGTTGCGTCAGCAATCCAGAAATCATCGACCAGTTGAAGTTCTGCTCCTGGAATTTTGATGAGATCGTTATGGCTGAGCCAGCCACAAAAATTTTCTGAGCCCCAATTCGTCCCAGAGGTGCTGTGTAGATCGATTGCTGCGATGCGCGAGCCAATCGCTTGCAGATACAGGTGACGAGAAGAAACCGCTTTGTTCTCGACTCTGAAATCACAATTGGCATGCCTGCCAATTGTGATAAACGGCTTCGTAAACGTGACCTCTGTCGAATCTGAGCCCGTCAGCTTCGATTTCAATCGCAATGGCGCGGGTACAGCTGCCGCGTATTGCAACATATTCAGGTATTGTTCATCCATTACTGGCGAGATGTCGATCCTGACCCAATGCAATCAAGTGCCCGCGATTCATCTGGGAGGAGGACAATAAGAGGTTATGAATTCATTGATGACTGATGAGGGACGAAAGTGAATACTATCTCAACAACCAGAAAGTGTCAGTGTTTACAAATTGTTAAATTGAACTTCAGACAATTCTCATGTTCGCAAGATTGAATTTCTTCGTCAACGAAAGAGGCCAGGAAAGTGCAAGGCGTTCCCAGAGCTTTTTGTGAAGAGTTTCTTTTTCTGGGTGAGTTCTGATACGCCGACTTATCTAAAATGATTTTCTCGGACGCTCAATTTAACTCTCTTCAGAATCAACAAACGGATCGACAATGTCGTTTTGAGGCCTGTCGATTTGTCCTTCTGTTGTGTCCGCCTGTTGGGAGGCGGTTGATCGTTCGGCAGGTTGACCTGGTGCAAGTTCCGTCGCTTCTGGGGGAGAATCAGGAGGAGCAATGTGGGGCTGTACAACAACCCGAGTTCCGCGGATTTCGACCACCTGGACTGCTGTCCCTGATTCGATGATGAAACCATCACCAATCGCATGCAGGCGCTCACCATCAATTTGTACCAGGCCCCCAGGCCGCAAAGGGCTGATTGCTTGACCAACGCGTCCAACGAGCGCTTGCAAACGTTCTTCTTCCCGCTGATACGGCGTCACTTCTTCCTGAGAAGGGGCGACCAGAAGAATTCGGTTCCCGAAGGATGTTTTCATCAGCAGAAAATAGATTCCATAGAGCGTCACGGGAATCATGATCAAAAATGTCGTCAGATAGATCCGCCAGTAGAGTGGGTTCGTTTCCGCCCAGGCTTGATAAGCGAACCAGGCTGAACCGAGAAACGATGCAATACACATCATCCCGATGACTCCGCCGGAAGGGATCATCAACTCGATTCCCAGGAGGACAAATCCCACAGCGAGCAGAACAAACGTCAGAATCTGGTCGTCCATCGCTGGAGCTCTTTCGTTCTTGTGTTCCTATGGCCCTGGGTGATTTTAATTTTTGCAGTTATCAAGGCAAATGCCTTCAATATTCAATTTCATTCTAGCCTGAAGGTGACCAGCTACAAGGTGCGACTTTTTCATCTCATCCTGCACTGAATAAGTTACATGTTCTGTAACGTCTGGATAATCAGTTCACGAACAGCTTTCGCATCTGCTCCCTTTGCTTGACGCATCACTTTGCCGATGATAGCTCCGACAGCCTGTTGCTTACCTGCTTTGAAATCCTCAACCGCTTTCGGACTTTCTGCAATGGCCGCATGAACTGCGGTTTCGAGTGCTCCGGTATCAGAGACGACTTCGAGTCCCTTCTCGTTAATGATCTGATCAACACGACCGACGTCGACACTTTTTTCCTTATCGATTTCATTCAACAAAACAGAGAAGACTTCACGACCGCTCTTGTTAGTGATTTTGTTGTCAGTGATTCGCTGAATGATTGTTCCAAGTACTTCAGATGAGAGTGGAAATTCCTCGATTCCAATGGAGCGTTCCTTCATCTCTCGCAGAATATCCTGAGTCACCCAGTTCGCCGATTGTTTGCCATCTCCGCTGATCTGAGCAACCTGCTCATAATAATCCGCAAACTCTTTGCCTTGATTCACGATCACATCGGCATCGTAGGCGGAGAGGCCCAGTTCAGCTTCAA